CAGTCCCTTCCAGTACAAGGAGTGGTGTTTAGGTGCAAGCAAGAGGCAGCCTGCTTGTGCAGGGGTCCCTGTGTGGACTTCCTGCAGCCAGTAGTTTGTCTCAAGCTGCCTTCGTTCTGTTCTCTGCTCCCGGCTCACCTGTGCTGCCCGTCCCTGCACTCGTGGGAGATGCATGCATCTAGCTGTTGAAGCCCGAGCAAAACAGGACAAACAATTATATCTATTCCTGAACCATCATAATCACCCAGGGTGGCACAGCAGTCTGATTGTCTGCCATCACCTGTTCTTACCCTCCCCCCTCAGTAAATGAACCCTCTTGAGTTTTAACTGGACTAAATTAAAGTCTGGCCAATTACCCCACTAAAGATGAAATTTTCCCACCTCCTTTGCAAGGTCTGACCATGTGTCTAAGTCCTGGCTGAAAGGATGTGATCCAGAACAGATGTCTGCAACTTTTATAAAGATCTCAATCTTAAAAGAGAACTTCTTGTCCTTCACTTCCCCTCTCCCCATTTCTTCCAACCATGCAGCTGAGGACCACGAAGATGGACAAACAACGGGGAAGGAAGCTGGTCCAGGATGACCCTGGAAGGAGAGTCGAGTGCCAGCTTGCATTCTTACACGGGTGGGAACTGCACCTTCTGTGTCATTTACGCTATTGTGATTGGGTCTCTAGAGACATCTTAGTCAAGCCGGATGCTTTGGGGACCGTCCACCTGGAGTATGAAGGAACTGTGGTCACTGTGCTACTGCTTATACATTTTCTTTCTCTTTAACAGCTTTACTGAGATGCCTTTGACGTATTAAAATTGTATATATTTAAGGTGTACAGCTTGATGTTTTGATATATGTATACGTTGTGAAAAGATCACCACACTTAAGCTAATTAACAAATCCATCACCTCTACCTAGTAATCTCTGCAAATTTCAAGAATATAATGCAGCATTATTAATTATGGTCACTTTTTTCTTCTCTTTTCTAGATGTGACTTGACTTTTGATGTATTTGTTATTTTTTTAATGTCCTTAAGGCCACATAGTCTTTTACAGCCTTGTGCCATTTTCATTTTTGTAATGGTGTGTGACAGCGCCAGAGGCCCGCTCGCTTTCTCCGGCCACTCCAGGGAGGAAGGTAGCAGTAATAAACACACCATTTTAAAAACAGAACAACAGTGAGTTTTTGGCGTGGGTGTTGGTGTAATTTGCTCAAAGAAAAGTAAGAACAGAGGCAGAAGCAGAACTCGCGTGTCTGATTCCCGCGTGATGGTCTCAACCCCAGAGCTGTGCCGCATCACCTCCCGCACCGGGCCCTCCCCCGCCCCTTCCGCCCTCCCTTCTCTTTCCC